CCACGTCGGACCTGGTGATTTTAGTCTTTGCTCCTAGTTGTGTGTGGTTGGTGAACGTACGGACCGGTGAAAATTTTTGGTGGGCAAGTTGCCAACTTGGGAGCCAGAAAAGTTGCAAAGCTGAAAATTTAAAGGGATGTTTTCAGACAGTCCTGGTGGCCGGTCGCAATTCTCTTAGCTAGAAGATCTGCCGAAAAAACAGTGCCGCTAGCAACAAAAACCTGCTGAGAACTATGCAAAAAACACATTTTTGCATCGGTATTCGGCGCGACGGCCACTTGTTTGATTTCTGTTACAAGTGTGCCGTTGCTGATTTCTCTTCTATTGCGTAACACATGGCTATTTGCAAAAGTCCTTTTAGAGCAGTTTGCTCTGTACTCATGCGTTACTTTCAATTTTCAGGATTGAACACGTTATTGTCACCTCAGATCAGGTGAACACGTTATGTTACCTCAGAATAGTTGAACATATTGTAGCGCCGATCTCTAGCAAGTTATCTCCCAGTTGATCTTTGTTATGTTACAGTTGGCTGTTTCGCCGAAACAGTTTATTACTTTGCAGCTTGTTTTTGTTGTTTACATCACTTATTTATATGCACACTTTATTGTCAGTAAATGTGCTCTGGTTTCGCTCGCGCAGTATTTACAAAGGAAGCGTATCTCCCTCGATTTTTTTTTATCTTTCCATATGCAGGTTTTCGTTGATCATGCATCACTGTGCTGGTTTTCTTCATGCGGTTCTGCTTTCACTTATCTGCGCAGCGGGGTTTGGGCGTGTAAGGGTTCAAACTGCTCTGCTCGCTGCTGCGACACAAAAATCGTGGACGGTAGAAGCTAGGCGTCAGCATGGAAAATTTGAGTGAAGTTGTGCAGAATTCAGCTTGCAATGATGCTTTGTAACGAAGGAAAAGTTAAATTTAGTGCGGGTGGTATTGCGAATTCTCTCCGCAAGACAATGTTGAGTGGCAGAATTGTCGAGAGTATTCCGTCTGTGTCTGTAGCGGCACTTGGGTTTGATATTGGAATGGTTAGTGTACAAGCGCCACTTTGACCAGGGTGAGATCTCTGTCCACATAAGACGCGACACTGGATGCCTCGTTTTTTTCTAGGAAACAGGCTATGCGTCTGCTTCCTCAAAGAACATTTTTTCCTAAAATTTTATGATTGTGTGACCGTGCTTTAAGGTGAAGGAATTTTGCAGCTTACAAGAAGTAACAGCTAAAAGGTGTTTGCTGGCCACCACGGTCCCTGAGACAGCCCAGGCTGAATATGCCATCCAGTGAGTGTTCAGCGTCGGTGAGTATGGAAAAGGATGAAAACGCCAGGAAGTTGTTCAGTAAGATTCAGGAGGCCGAATCGCTATTGCAGAGAGTCTGCACTTATTTCGCAGAGGTAGAGAGCAGTGAGAAGCTGCAGAACAAGTTGAAGGCCGAACTGAAGTTCCTCAACGGTGTAAGTTTGCCGAAATCGAGCATTTTTGCTGTGTTTGATTGCGCGCTGCATTTTTTTTTTCGGTTCCATCGTTCGTTTCGTTTGTAGCTGAAGGATGTGACGCCGTCGATACTGGAGCGATATCTCGCTACCAGCAACGTGACGCATTTTCGAGGACTGCTCGATGTGGCGATGAGGCGTCTTCCTTCGTGCACTGCATTCTACAAGAGTTTCCCTGAGCACCCGGGAATCGGTTGCACCAAGTATGCTCTTCCCTTGTAAAATCTGCTGTGTTTTTCCTCCACATATTATACGTTTTTGCACTTTTCGTGCTGTAGCAAGATCGCAAGGAATCACAGAAGCTAACCCTGTGACATACTGGCCCTCAAAATTCGGGAAGTTAATTGTGCAACTGTGTTTGGATAAGAAGTGCACATACAGTGGTCATTTTTCCCGCACAATGGTTTCCCAGCTGCTGCTGCATTCCCACCTTGTGTCGCCGTGTAAAGGATACTGAAGTGTAAACTGTGAAGTCTCAGAGGGTGCGATTCGTCAGCGTCATAGCATAGGTTTGGAAAGATGGAGAGGCACAAGGAATTCGGGGTAAAAATGCGGACCAGTATTTGCGTCCCTTTTTTCCGGTCTGCTGGAGGGGAATCGCAGGAAAGACTAGCTGGCTTAAGAGGGGACACCTCTCTTGTTTCCCGTTAACTTTTCCCGGTTCCGAAACAGTTTTTTGGGGAGATGGTGGTATATAGCTTCCAGTTTATTCAGTTTTCCTTGTGCCTCTTGGGAAGCTGTGAATGTT